AGGGCAAAGTGTATGCCAATGAAGGCATCCTGATCTTGCTGTCTCACGACGACCTCAACTTGGACAAGAGCTGTTTCTCCCTCTCATGTGATGATACACCTTGCGAGCTCTTTGGAGGCAATGCGCACATCTTGTGGGCGCAAGGCAATAAATCCAAAAGAGTGTCATACAGCACCAGCCATGGAGAGACTTTGGCAGCCATCAACGGCATGGAATCCGCCTCACTCATAGCATTGCGGCTGGGCGAACTATTGGTGCAAGAGAAGCGTCCCACGCTTCAAAGATTGGCAGCTCTGCAAGAAAAGGGAGTACCCTTTCTACCAGTAGATGCCTACACCGACTGCAGGGACTTCTTTGAGTTGTCCACAGGCAAAAAGTCCATGCCTCAGGACAAGTCACAGAGGATCTACATCATGGCTCACAGAGAGGCACGCCTCTGCGGTCGTCTTCGGTGGCTCATATTGATTCCAACTCAGTGTATGACCAGTGATCAGTTCTGGCGCAATGACCTGGGAGAGCTTCAAGACGTTTCCATAGTCCTGATGACCAGGGTTGTTCTAAGAGGTAGAGGCGCTCCATCTTGATCTGCTTGTGACATCGCTCCTCAATGAAGCACAGGCCAGGTTCTTCTTCTTCTCGCATCTGCTGAAGCTGTTCTGGCGGTCGTTGATTTGAAGACACTGACCATGGTCGGCAGTTTGGAGAGAGCATGAGAACCTCTGGTTGCAATGATGTCTCATGTACTTGTCGTAGTAGCCGTTGGTGTGGACCATAGCCAATGTCCCAGCCATATCTGAAGTCCACTGGGAACATCACACATAGACCTGACAGCAGAGCAATCAAGGACAGTCTTGAGCTACCTGAGCACATCTCCTAGAGATGGAATCGTTTTCCTCTGTGCCTGGATGCCCATTGGAGACAGTTCTTTGGAGTGATGGGCTTCCTCTTGAGCTTGCTGTAGAACTCTTCAGGAACGGCCTTGTAGAAGCGCTCAAGGTACTTTCGCTTCTCTTCGGTGATGTGCTCTGGAAAGAGATCAGCCTCATAGTGTGCAAGCTCCTCATCGGCAAAGATATGATCTTCTCTGTCTCCAATGTAGATTTCCTTCTCCTTTTCAGGTGCTGTTTCCTTTTCAGGAATGATGTCAAAGATGGTGACACCAGTCCACGTCTCATGGAGATGACGTTGTGCATCAGGAATCTGCCAAGTATCTACTATGTTGTCTTCGTCGCCGTTGACATAGCAGATCTTTGTTTCTCTTCTTCCTTGGGTTCGTTCAAGGAGATCTGGAGACTTGCCTTTGTCTGGAGAGAAAATGGCGGTTCTTGGTCGCACATGATGTCGGTGCCACTGATCACCAACACGTTTCCAGAAGTCTCTCGTGGAAGCATAGGTCCTTGACATAGGCGATCTTGTAGAAGAGCTCGGCGATGTTGTAGTGTCATGTTCTTTTGGCCTCTGATCTTCTTCATTCCGCTCATGGTCCTCCGTGTTGTCCTCCATTTCATTCATCTGGGAGACCTGGAAGCAATACTTGTTGGTTTGATGCACATCACTCCATTGCTGACTGGAGATATTGAGGACGGTGTGCATAAACATTTTTGCTTTCTTCTGTTCATCTTCATGGACTGGTGGATTCTTGTCCATGGGAATGATGTAGTGTCCGCTGTCTGTGAGAAGGAGGCGAATCATAGTGTTCTCCTTCGTCTGCTGATCGTCTGCAGAAGGACAGATGAGGAGACCATCACCATTGGTGAACCAGTCTGAGCAAATAACTGCTCGCAGACTGCGCAAAGAGGGATTGCTCACCAGTGCTGGGCAGAGACTTCCTTCTCCTCCAAGAACATCTCCTGTGAAAGTGCCGGTCTTGTCGCCTTCCAGAGAGAATTGGAAGGAGACTTCTGCTAGGGTTTCATCGCCCTTGCCTGAAATGCCGGTGACTGATGTTCGTCGTTCTGTCCATTGGATTTGTTCTTGTAGTCCATGAGGTTTGAGACATTCTTCGACAAGATCTCTCAACGTCTCTGAACCAATCAGTCCTGCGGCAGCACCTGGGTCGACAAGAAGTCCTCTTCTTTTGATTCCCTTGATCATATGATAGGAGCTCACGGCATCAGTCTCACAGTTCTGGTTCACCTGGACAGGAAAATTCAAATGCTTCCTGGAACTTGCTGATGTGGGCTCCTCACTGGTCTCACTCTGAGTGCTCTTGCCCGGTCGTGACAGACGAAGAAAATCATGTCCGTTCTCTGTTGTCCCGGTAGAGGTGGCTTTGGCTTGTTCTGGTACTGCATGATGTGAATGCGGAGTCGCAGCGGCTTGATCTTCATTGAGCTGAGGGCCGTCATTGGACTGAGTCATTAGGTTCAATTGAAGACCTTCTCGAGCATGTCGAAGTTGTTGCTCTTGACGAAAGAAGGTGGTTGGAGAATCACCTGAGGTCCAGTAGCCCTTGCGGCCATAGCCTTTGTCTCGAAAGCTTTTTCCACCATAGGGACGGTGGAACTTCCCTTTGAACTTTCCTTTTCCTTTGCTCTTGCCTTTACCTTTTCCTTTGCCAAAACGTCCATGGTTCTTGCCCTTGAAACTGCCCTGGTTGTAGCCTCCTTGACCTTTGCTTGAGCCCTTGGACATAGGGCAAGTGCTGGCGGAATGCCACTTGGATCCACAGACGGAACATCCAAGATTGAAGGTCCGTCCTCCTTTTCCACCTTGATAGAAGGTCTCCTCTTTCTCGCCTCCGTCTTCAGGTGGTTGGTTCTCCTCAGCATTCCATGACTCTTCATACCAAGCACTGTCGTCATCGTAGTAGAGCTCATGTTCTGGGTAGTCAAACTGATAGTCATACTCTTCGTCCTCATAGGTGTGATACGACCAGTTGCCATCATAATCATACCAGTTGGAACTCGAGGCATAGTCTTCTCTGGCGGTGGAATGATCCCAATACTCCATGTCGCCATAGAGGACGCTTGGAGCCTGGTGCCAGCTTCTTTCATATTCTTCTTCGATGCCGTAGGTCTCATCCTTGTCGTAGTAGCTAGAATTGCCAGTATTGTCACCTTGACGGTGTGCCAGGCGAAGCATGAGTGCTCGGGCTTGGTCGAATCTGGACATGTCTCCTTGCAGTTGCATCAACACATCATCAACGTGTCGCTGTGGGAGTTGAGCAGCTCTGAAGAAGAGAAATGTCTTCGCCACATTGTTCACATTCAGGCCTGCATGTAGAATGGCCTGTTGTCTAGCTTCATGTTCCACTCCTGCGACCACGACGACAATCGAAGAACTCCTCAAGAGATTTGATCACCTGGAGCTGGTCGGTGTCTCCAAAGGCTTCTCTGAGGGCCGTGCAGAGGGCCTGAACTCCGCTTGGGATGCGATGCTGGAGGCTCACTGCTGGATTGGCAGGATCTCTGACTTCGTCCACTGCCAACCTGACTAATGCAGCATCGCCAACATCAACGTTGCCAAGAGGATCTGGTAGGCGAAGTTGTAGCGCGATTGTCTGAGCGCGTCCAACCAGTCTTCCAGCGATCAGGGGTCCAACGGTCTCGTCCATGCCGTCATACAGCCTATACCACATACGAAGTCGTTCAAAATACAACTTCAAAGGGTATTCTGCATCTCCAGGACCCCAACCAGGCGGCACGTCTTTTCTGTACTCTTGCAATGGAATACCTGAGGAAGCTGAAGGGATAGCCATGCTTCCTGCCTCTCTCGTCTGAGGCCAACAGTTCAGGTAGTAGAGCTCTTCAAACTTGTGGTAGCTCTCTTCGGACAGATAGCCCGGTTGGTAGAGCTCGCTGACCTTGTGGTAGGGCTCGGAGGCCTGCCAGTAGCGCGTGAGGTTCTGGCAGAAGGGCTTGTTGACCAGGCTGTAGGGCTCGAAGCTCTGGTCGCTCTTGTCCAAGACAAAGGAATCCTTGAAGTGAAACACGCAGGTGCAAAAGGTGAAAATGGGTAGAAACCAAAAGCTGCCCTGGATCGAAATTGCTTCGGCGATGGGCGACGGAGCCTCCGAAGAGGCTCCGCTACCAAACTTGGTAGCAAGCGGGACTTTTGAGCTAGAAGGTGCACCTGCGTTAGTCGAAGTGATACGAAACCGTGGGATCTGTACGAGTGGAAAAGTTCATTCCTTCAATCACTGCTCTTACCTACAGCTTCTAACTGTATTCTAGACCCCAAAAACCTTCTTTGATGTACTTTGAGTGGTGGCTCATGAAATTAAAAGCCAATGCGTGGTTGATGTCGAACGGTTTGCTGCGCCACACATGTTACTGGAAGTCACACAAGCAATGGCCAACCCGCATAGCCCAACCTGCCAAACACCGCAAACCTGCCAGCAAAAACAACAGCAACATGCACGTAGTCTCTGCTTGCAACCCAGCAACGACCCTTTGTTCGAGCAATGGCACCTAAAAGTTCCGACCAAAATGGCACATGTTCGCAGAATACTGTCTTGATCATTGTCCTTTTCTTTCCTCTCCCTCCCTCCCTCCCTCTCTCTCTCTCCCCCTACTGTGCGTACATTCTTCAATCTATTGCAGAATTTCCGGGGTTGTTAGTAGTATTTCAAAGAGACGAGTCACGGGACAGTAGAGCACTTGTTGATGTTGCCTTTGCCAACTCAGTCACACTCTGACCTGCGTTGAGGCCAAAAACCAAAAACAAAGGAACATCGCAACTCCGGCAGCCCACATTTGGTGAATCTCAAAATCGCCTGGCTCCATGCTGGCTGGAACTCACTCAAATCTCCAATCTGAAGCTTGGTGGCTGCCACGTGCAATTTCACTCATACTCATGAACCACCCTATATATATATATATAGGCAGGCTAATAATGTGCCTGAAACAATTTGTGAACTGTGAGAATCCTGCAAACTTTCCCTACCCCTTTCCAATCATTCACAACCAGCAAGTATGTTCGCGGTTTTTCTACAGCTCCAGTTCAAACCAGGTCTGGTTACAAGACCGCGGCATAATGCGATTTTGGCGGTTGAATTCTCACATCAACAGAAACCATGAGGGCTTTAGGTTGCAGTCAGTCTCTGCCAGCCAAACAAACTTAAACAAACGGTGTTTGACATCAACCAAAAAATAGAACAGATTCCCGCACACGGTCTCAAACAAATGCAGTCTCACTTGGGCACGCGGTTCAAAAACCTGACAAAACTCGGGCGTTGTAGCTGGGCGACATTCACTCTTGCTGTCTAAGTGCAATTAGTGTTTTTGCAGAAAAGCAACCAAACGAAGCCAGCAGGCATCAGAACCACCAAGAGCCTGCAGAATGCTCTTGTGAATCAAACTCAAAAAAGAACAGTGGCACTCGAGAACACACATCCCACCTGAACAACAACACAGTGACACGCGTACGGAACCAACGGCATCCCAGACCATCACGGTTTCTCCTTTTGAGCCCTCCATATCATCTAAGGCGCAAAATGTTGTCGTAGTACATCCAGAGTTTGTTCGCTTGCGTGATCCTGACATTCTGCCATGCAACGGCCAGCTGCCGTGCAGTAGAACTGGACAACAGGTGGTCACACCCGATGTCAGCAAGCGGGGCATGAGTTGCGCGGGCACAATTGCGCAAGCTACGGCGCAAAAGAAACAATCAAACTGGGCGAAACAGGTGTGCCCCTGTTTGCAGTAATATGATAGCAAAAACATAGCGCTTTGTCAATGTAGTAGGCATAGCCACATAGCATATGTTTCACAAAAGTATCCATCATGGGCTCAAACCTATTCCTGAGGCATGCCGCAAACACGGGCAACGCTCAATTTCTGTGGCACATACAGCGTATGCGCAAATTTCCGGATATGTGAAGCGGGCAGGCAGCCACACAAACCTTCCCAGCCTACCTTGTGGCCTTGTCCTACTGACATTGTCCACTCAATATGCGCAAGCCTTGCGCAAGCCGTCGTACATATGAAAAAAATTGCGCAAAGCAGGCGCGCCACCATTTCAGCTAACAAAGACATGGTTTTAATCACTGCAACTGAATCAACATGTAACGCCACCCGGGAATCTTTTGAACAGGTACATCCTACACCAAGGATGGCCCCTATCTGTGTATTGGATATACAAGAAGAATGGAGCCTCCAACTAGGGCAATCTTTTTGTGAGCCCTCAAATCAGTTCAGTTTGGTTCAATGGTTCTCCTTGCGCCAAAGTGGACAACATCTGTGTGATTAGCAGTCAGTGAAATGAAACATGCAAGCGCAAGCCTTCCAAACCTGTTGCGTGACTACATCTCAGCTTTAGGCTGTAATTATTGCACCTGTAATGATGATTGACTCCGATAGCGCTACTTCGGCGTGACTTTTTCTCTTCCAACGCGCAGTGGCAACCTGTGACTCACATTGGACCCTCGCTCTGACCAGCCCCAATGCACTTATAGGAACTCTGCCATCACCAAGTCTGGATCGCATCTGCGCAGTTGGGCGCGGAGGGGGTGCATTCCCACGCAAAAGAGCATGGTGCGCAAACGCAACAGGAAAGAATGAATGCGAGGACTCATGACTCAAGCTCCGGGTTGTCACTTCTACCTCCAACCAGGCGCGTTAAACTGGCGACGTTGTCGTTGAACCAAATTCTGGGCGACGCGTTCCCGCCACGAGGGCCACATAAAGAAAACCATCAGGCGGTCGAGCTGCAATTACAGGGCGAATCTCTGCAACGCGCTGGCCTCGCAGAACGGGTCGTCATTATTGTTGTCGTTGCCCCACCAAACATGAGAAAACCTCCAGGGCCATGCCTGCAGACCTCGATCTTGGAACACCTGGCCTGGCGACGGGCGGAGTTCAACTGCTGGACGCGCAACTGCGATGAGACACCATTTAATCTTCTGAAGTGAGATCCGAAATATGGGAGTCATCGAAGCACAGTGCAATCAGTAACCCCAAAGACCTCCGCCCAGCAGATTCGACGAAACGAGGCTGTTAAATTTTTGTTGAACTTGGCTCTGACCAGCCCGCTGCTTCGCTTGCTTACGAAGAGGACAGCGCGCATGGACGGCGGACTTGGTGATCTTCAAAGGGTAGAACCGAGGGACGTGCTTATAGCGCAAGACCCCTGCGCTTTTAAGCGCGGCCTCTATGTCAATGGTCGGGCGACGGTGGCGGTGGAAGACCTCTGAGCTCGCAAGGAACGTCTGCTTGGTTGACCAGCCACCGCAAGCCTGAAGGCTTCATCGTAAGCCATGTGAACAGAAAGGAACGCAAAAATCCAGCGACCGCATTGACGGGAAAACCAATCACATCATACAGAAGCGCGCAGGGCTTCAATTTCCTTTCCAAAATAAGAACAGGGGCACAAGACGGAGCCCTAGCAAAAAATCAGAAAGGCGTCCAGAGGCTCAAGGATTCACAACCCACCAAGAAGAAGGAGGAGAAAGCAGGTGACACTAAACCCCTGTCCAAGCATCTTCAGACCAGGGGACCTTGCTCAACACAGGCGCCTACAATAAAGCAACAAGTTGAGGTAAGTGTCCAGAGCAATTCGCCTCAGCGCCTGCAGAATTCCAGTCTGGGCGTATGCGCCCAGAGCTATTGGAGTGGGGCCCGTGCTACAATTCTTTGCAATTCCAGTTCTTCATTGTTGTACCTACCGTGCAGGAAACACCCTGATCAAGCTCTGTGGGACTTGGGCGGTGGTCGGGTTGCTCTTTGCAATATAAGCCGCAAAAGGATACTTGTGGCTGAGCTTCAATGTGCACTTCAGACAGGCTTCAATGGATGTCTTCAAACCCTGGGGTGAAAACAGCTTCCGGGAACTACCTGAAAATAGGTCAATGGAATTCGGTGGCTGTCAGCTCCTGAAGAGAAGCGCCCGAAAGCGGGATCACACCATACACCGGACGACACTGCGAAACACGCGCAAGCTGGGTGAACCCTGCGGCCTCTGTCAAGTGAACTTGAGAGAGGAGGTGGTGAACGAAAGGTAGCAGGGAATCAGTAGTAAACCTGGAAAAGGTCAGGCCCCCCTGTTGTACAGAAACCCTTTCTAGAGGATCAAAGTTTTGTAGCTGTACCATCCCAATGTACAGGGTTTTGTGCCAGGAAGCCGCACGAGCCCGTGTAAGTACCGTCGTTTTGCGCCACTTTGAAGCCTCCAAGCGCCGAAAAAAACACCTTTTCCGCAACAAAAAGCATGCAAATAGCGTGGTTTGAAGCCACTCTTGAAGACAGGAGGAGCTGAAAACACTCGTATTTATTGGGTTTTGTGGCCACTTTGAAGCGTACATAGCCCAAAACCACCGCAATTTACAGGGTCTTGTGGCGGGAAGGCGCGCAAACCCATGTAAATACCGTCGTTTTGTGCCATTGAGAAGCCTCCATAGCGTCGAAAAAAGCCTTTCCGACAAAATCTTTCCATGTTTTTGCTAATTGTTCGACCATTGTTGAAGCCTAGACACTTCAAAAACAATCGATTTTTAAGAGTTTTTTTGGCCGGGGAGCCACAGAAAACCCTATAAATTGCGTGGTTTGAGGCCACTCTTGCAGACTGGAGGATCTGAAAACACTTGTATTTACGGTGTCTTGTAGCCGTTGATAAAGAGCCGCGCCAGGGTGGAGTTGAAAGGGGGGCCCCCCCGGCCTTTAACATTAGATGTCGGAGGGCGATTCTCAGTGAGATGGGTGTCCACTCTGGTTATAATTCATTTTTGCTAAAGCAAAAGGAAAACTCAGGTAGCGTAACCGCTACCTTTCGTGACTGGAATTCGGAATAGTGTTAGACCTCTAGGAACTAGCCACGGTGAGACATGAAGGTGCCGCGCGACAACCTTATATAGTATAGTGTATATATATATATACACCTCGGCAACCGCCCTGAGAACGAAAGAGATCAAAAACAGAAACGGTTTCTGCATCACAGGCTGCAATAAACAATGAGCAAAGGGCGCGTCAGCTGATCAGCAGCACGGAAACTTGGCTGTCTTGGTTGGACCACCAATTGGGTGATCCCCTGCAACAGTACATCGGTTTCTTACATTAGTGAGTGTTGGCGTAAAGCCTCGGCAACCGGAGTTGACACGTGAAGAGAAAACGAAGACATAATACCAAGAGAAGTAGGATTTTAGCTCCAGCGACAACAGCGGACCCAAACCCAGAAAGCCGACGCGGCAAACAGCTGCGAACACGTCTAGGGTCAACAAGCGCATCTGAACAGCAATTGCCACCATACGCCAAAGCAGAAACATCAGGGCACTACTGCAAGTTAAGACTTGCAAGTATATGGGGCCATGCTAAAATAGTGGCCAAGCGTCTTGATGCCATCTGCATAGACGCCATCGCCCTCAGCCTTCACAGGCATATTGAACATGAAGGGCACCGAGCCTCAAGCAAAGCAATCAACGTCATGTTTAGAGCCTAGAACCTAAGAATAAACTACTTATGACTTGCCCTTTGCCCTGTGTCAAACTGCTGGCAAGCACAACCACTGAAAACCAGGACCCTGCGCAAACAAGATCCTTTATGTGAGAGGTTGCTGGTGCCTTTGGGCTTATCATTGAGCGCTTCATCACTGTGACAACATGTAAGAGTAAGAGGGCCCTCTGAATTCGAAGTGGTGGTCATCGAACTATGATCCGAGGTGCCCATTTCAGGACACCATCAAAACATCTCCGTAAATGTGACCGGACACCATCAAAACCCAACCGGGCGACCAAAACGTGACCAGCAGCATCAAAAATGTGACCGCGAGCACCGTCAGAAAATAGCCGACGCCGACGCCCCATCGAAACACTGACATGACCAAAGATTCAAAACGGGAGCGGAACTTCACCAAAACCATACAAAACTGTCTGAGACGTGTCAGAACATCACCGCCAAGCGGTTTGACGCTGGGCGTGCAAGAACACAAGATGGAACCCACGAACCCGAATCCAAACATGCCCTCAAAAACAAATACCCAAACAATTTTTGACAATCTTGTAGGAGACACTCTTGCAGGATCCTTTTGTGGGACGCATTATTTTCGGAAACCTTTGTGGGACACTCTTGTGCAGCTTGAGGGCAACCTTGTGGGACACTCTTGCGGAACACTCTTGTAGGATACTCTGGCGGGGCACTCTTGTAGGACACTCTTGTGGGACACTGTTGGGGCACTCTTGTAGGACACTCTTGCCCCCGCATTCTTGTGGGACACTCTTGCGGGACACTCTTGTGGGACACTCTTGTTTGTCACTCTTGTGGGACACTCTTGTATGACACTCACTCTTGCGGGACACTCTTGTAGGTCACTCTTGCGAAACACTCTTGTAGGATACTCTTGCGGGAGACTGAGACACTCTTGTGCGTCACTATTGTGGGGCGCTCTTGTAGGACACTCTTGTGGGACACTCTTGTAGGACACTCTTGTAGGACACTCTGGGACACTCTTGTCGGACACTCTTGTGGAATTCTCTTGTAGGACACTCTTGTCGGAAAGTCTTATGGGACACTGTTGTGGGGCCTCTTGCAGGACACTCTTGTAGCTCTTGTAGGACTGTCTTGTGGGAC